CAGATAGGTACTATGTGGGACAGCCTCCCCTTGGAGGGGGAGAAAAAATGAGTGTTAAAACCTGGGCAAGATTACGTTTGAAGGATCAAATGCAGAACACAACAAAGTCAGGGGAAGACTTCTAGTGATGTGTGTTGGATCAGGCTTAGAGCGTGTGGATTTTCCACTCTGTGGAGCTGGACTGTAATGCACTCCCTCAACAACACCACAGCTCTGAGCAAGCAACCTTATGTTGTGAAAGACAAACGAAACGAGACTCTTGGACGACAAGGCAACCGAGCAGAGTTTGCTTTCTCTTGGATCTGCTGACAGATGTGCTCATTTTATAAGAACAGATTTAGGGCGATTAAACTAGCAAAGTGAATTTTAATTTTCAAGATGGGAAAACGCTAAGCAAATGCTATTTGCAACCCAAAAGTTATCCACCTACTAAGGGATTCAGGAAGTAAAGTTAAAGAAATGTAGAACCATCGTGCAGAGTGATGACCAGATTACAACCACTTGGGAAAAAAAAAGAGCTAAACACTGTAACGTGTGCTTAGCTCTAAATGAGATATTAAAAAAACCTAAAAAACATAGCAAGAAGCTTATTAGTTGTGTAATGATGCAAACTGGGCTTACTGGAAACTCTAACACCAGATTCCAGCAAAAACAACTGGAACTCTTAATAGTAGATTCTCTCCTAACCTTACAATAAGACAAAATGAGAAAGAGGAAGGATCTGTCATCTACAAGTGTTTCCATAGTCCCTTGAGGGAGCATTTTGGTTTTGTTAGATCATCAGCACACTCCGGCATTTTTGGAAGAAGCAAACGAGCCTCAGGAGGGGAAGGAGGAGGCAATGGCATGACTAATCCTTTACAGCACTGTTAGCTCTTGGGAGCTGGTCAGTTCTGCTGTCCTCTTCACATTACACTATTTTCTTAAAGAGGACTTTGATGGTAGAGTTGGACTTCGCAGAGGAGAAGCAAAAAAAACAGAACAGCCTTCCACTTCTAGCAGGGAAGGTGGCTGGAGTGAAAAGAGTAATTCAATTTTGAAATAATCAGCAGTGTGGAAAATAGAAGAGGGAGCCTTACACATGATTTGTGGAGCAGGCCTGGGTCTGCTCTTCCTGAGCTGGAAAAGGGGTTCTGCTATAGCCAGCCATGTGCAGGGGCTGTTTCTTCTTGTTTGTGAGCCAAGGATGGGAGAAGTGGGTGAAGGGAGGGGTGGGGAGGAGTGTCAGCAGGGTTAGTGTCAGCAGGAGGTTCAGCTATACATACCACCCAGATGCAAGTCGATGAGGTCACTGTAATAAGACTCTCCCCAATAGTCTACAACAAGGAATTGGTGAAGACAGAGTTATTGAATCAGACACCCACCCTAGCCCTGCACAACCAAAGCAATATATGAGAAAAACACGTACAGACAGAAACAAACAAACAAAAAAGGCAGACAAGAAAATGCAGCTATACACGTGGGCGCATATATATACACAGATATAAAAACTGTATGTCTCTCTTTGTATATATACATACATGTATACACACACACGAATATATCACAAACATATATATTGGGAATACAAGGAGAAAATTCCCAGCAGGGAGGCAAGGACTTCCAAGGGGAAAAACCAACAAGGCTACAGTCTGCACCAGGACCTGACACTGATGTCTTTCCTGTTCTTGCTGAAAAAAAGCAGAACTACTCCTGCTGCTTTCACGCCGAGCAATATGTCAGAAGGACACAGCGTCACTCCTTAGCCAGCTGCAGGAAAGGGGCAAGGGTGGATTTCTTGGAGGCCAGTGAGTGGAAGAGGTGTGTGTCGGGCACGCGGGTAGAAGGCACTGACTGAGTGCAGACACGAATGGCCAATGCCCAAGTGTAGAAAGATGGGAATGTGTGTTTCTGCTCATGGAGCACCTGTGTTGGAGAAGAACCTGCACAGGAGCGTGCAGAACAGACACGTACGTCCACAGGTGCTAGAGACAGGCACACCGTGAGTCCAGCACTGTGTAACGTTTCGATGGGGAAGAGGAAGATGAGAGTACTGAGAGCGCTACTTCTCGCTGCGTACGATTTGCTTGACGGAAACAGGTGGCTCTTAAATTTTCCATATTGATCTGATAGTAGAGGAAGTTTTCCCAGCCCTTAAAAATTACCAAAGTTTATGCTAAAGGAGGATAAAGGAGGAAAAAAAAAAGTTCCAGAAATTTCTGATTTGACATATTTTTAAGTTAGTAATTGAAAAAATGAAAAATGCACTCAGGAAATCAAAGTCATAAGCATGTCAAAACAGGCAAATGCACTGCAATACCAGTTACTGTTGTATTAATAGCAATCACATTCAAGTTGCCTCATGGGACACCACAGGAAAATGGGAAAATTCTTCACTGGGATTATCCTACTCTACCTTTGCAGTGAAATACCATGATGAAAAAGAAAGGCGGGTGGGGAGAGGGGAAGGGAAAAAAAAGGATGACAAAAGCTTAGATCACCTGTATATGACAAACTTGCCACCTGAAGTGGAGCTTACATTCCAAACCATTCATTCTGGCTATGAATGCAACTATCAAAGGCTGAGATTTTCAAAGATAATCACAGAGAGCATATTAAGGCAATTAGAACATATTAAGGCAATTAAATAACCGTAGGGTGTGAGATCATTTTCTGATTCAGAAACTAAACGTTAGCTTGAGCATTCAGCTTTTAAAAGAATAAAAGCCAAACTGTGCCTTGCCCGAGGCTCAGCCAATTCAATAAAGGAAGAGACAAGGAGGTAGGCAAGAAGGTGCAATTATTTTGTCAAAATTAAAGTCAACAATGACCTCCAAAACGTTTCTGAGTCTGGTTAGTTCAGCAGCTAGTATCATCATATAAATATTCCAACTTGACAACCATCAGATAATGAGTGAAATTCCTGGAAAGAGTATTGAGCTGTCTGTACCTATTGCTAGGATCAAAATTAACCGTAATCTCTCAGGAAGACAGTCTTCTCAGTTTAAGTCACTTGGCAAGAACATATTAAGGATGATGCAAAACAGATGGAAATTAGAAGCAAAATTGTTCTATGTAAACAAATTCTTACCTATAGTATTGGGTTTTGTTCTTACCAGTCCAACTGAGAAACACTTTTTTCTATAAATGCAAAGAGGTCCAGAGGTCAGAGATCTGAGCAATTAAAGTTAATGGAAGACCTCTACAAAAGCAACATTTGAAATTCTTCAGAGAGGAAAGATGGCTAACAGGCAACATGCTAAAAGATGATAGATGACATAGAGAAGCAGTGCAGATGCACTTGTCTATCTTTTTCTACAATAGAAAAAGAAAAGAATTAGTGCAAAACACAGAATTCTCTTTCTTCTGTCAGGATTTTCAAGTATCTAGTAGTAGGAAACTACTACTAATACTATCTAAAACTTCATATTTAGATGCCTAAAGTCAGTGAGTTCTTTGCTCTTTCCCAAAAATTCCCTACAGAGAGAGGACCCGAATAACCCACTCGTTACAGAGCCTAATATGTTCTCCTAGAACAGTTAATACTGCTTGCTGTATTAACCAGTATTACTGGTAAATTATTATTAATAATAATACTGGGGCAGCCCTTACTTCGATCCCCATTGCAACCCTTCTCTTTTTACGTGGACAGGCTACGTGCACAGGAGGCATGCCTCCCACCCTCCCCCATTTCTTCCTGTTCTATAAGCTTATTAAAAGAAATGAGATTTTTTTTTTTTTTTTCCCCAGATAATGACACCACTTTATACACTGCCCTTCCCTTTCTTAACTTCTGTTTACGTGGTTTCATCAGGGGAGAAAAATCAGAGACAGAAGTGTGACTCCACGCCTCTACACAATGGTACTTGCTGAAAGCAGTGGTCACTGTTAGGTCAGTATCTTCAGCAACGATGACAAGAAAATTATACTGCCTTCCCGAAAAAATAACGGCTATTGGAGGCAGGAATTCTTTGTACTTACGGAGTTTGATGTCTCAGACTTAAAAAAAAATTAAGAAGAAATTCAGTTATTTTATTGCAAGCAGATGTAAAATCTCCATGCGAGCACAGCTAGAGAGGTGAAGGATGGAATTAATTTATTATCTTGTGTTTCAGTCAACACAGGCTAGAACATGCTTTTATTTTTTCCCCCCAACAGAATGCATTTCTTGGTAATCTCATGGAATAACTGGAAGACTTGAGGTTGGTGAATTCTTTATGACAGAGTTAAGCTTCTGTAACCATAATGCATGATCTGTTGACAGAAACATGCTCCAAGAGTAAACCATACCCTAGCGACTTCCTGAAGGAAAGAGATTTATTTTGCAAAGAGTGACCTACAATTTCATAATTCTGCTAGGAAATTCACAAATATACAAGCTCATCTAAGACTGCTTCTATCTGGGAGTGCTGGGAGCGAGAGGTTAGTTATACAAGGGTTTAATTCTGCAGTCTTCCATATAAAATACCAATTCTAACTCTTGGTCATGTTCTGCCCTCTCTGAACGTTTTTTTTAGGCATTCTTCTGTCATTCTTCAATGAGAGAACTTTTTCTCAAGAACGTTCTCTCAGCTGCTAAGATTTCCCACTTGTGCTGACACGTCTTACGTGAAAGTCATTTAGCAGCTGAGTAATCAAGATGGACTTCCAGATGAAAAGGAGAAAAAGAACAATCAGAAATGAGAGAGGTGGGTTTAGTAAGTGCAGAAACTGGGAGGCGAGAGAACAGAAATACGCAGCGTAAGGAAGGAGGCACCACCACAGAGACAGAGTTTTTGCACAAGGCTGTTTTTTGAACCCACAAATGAAAAAAAACAGTCAGAGCACAATACCATCAACGTCCTCAAGATTGCTCTCTGCACTTGGAGCACCTATTTGCTTTGGTAACCACTCCGTCCTGCTGCCTCGGCATGCCCTTACGGAGCATCCAACACACCGCATCCTGGCCGAGCAGAAATTGTCAGCAAGTCACAATGGACTTTTCTTCCGGTGAACCTTCACTGCTTAATCAAGTTCCATCTTCACAGGTATAGCAGTTGCTCCTCAATCCAAGCAACAAGCTCAAACGTCTTCCGAACACCTGTTCCATTTTCCAACACTCTTATCATTTCTGATTCCCTGATCCTTGTAATCAGGTACGTGATCTGTCGGGTACACGCACGCTGCGTTTGCCCGTTGGATATCTGACTCCTTGCAATTGAGGGTTCTTTTTTCCAAATCTTTATATTACTATCAGCATCATCTGAACCAAGCACTCCTTCACTCATATGCTCTGCCAGATCAGATGATACTCCTTTAATTTAATTTCAAGCACACATAACATTACTTTAACAGCTTGACATGGATATCTTTCAGTACATGTGTGCATTTCTGCTCTGCACAACTTTCTTGGAAGTAGCCAGTGTGCTGGGCTGTGCAGGGAGGAAGATGTTCTGTGATGGTCCCTTGTAAGGACACTACCTTGATAATCCAACACAACAGAGGAAAGTACATACAATTCCACAACTACATCCTTAAGATACAAACAGGTTCTCTTACTGTGACAGCTTTATGAGAATTGCAGCTAGGAAACCCCTGCGATTTTCTACCTGCAATATCCAGTTACACGCAGAACCAGTCAGTCAGCCGTTATTAATAGTTGGAGGGTTATCTCCTAAGCCTCAAGCAAAGACAAGCAAAGTGAGTCTCTGCCATAGGGAAGTCCCAGAATTAGAAGAAAACAGGACACAGCACAGGCCTCAAAAAGATAGTAGAAAAGGGAGAATGGGTTCACATTGGACTATTTCTAGGAACTAATGGTCCAATTGCCTCTAAAATCCAAGCAGCTACACACTACTGCACAAGCACTTGATAAGAAAACATTGAAAAGCAAACCAAATTCTGATGGATACCTGCTTCTCCTCGAAGGGCTTTCTCCACAGCAACCCCTCTCTCCTCGAGTTGCCTCTGCTTTTCTTCCACTTGTTCAAGCTGCCGCTGGATGATCTGTTCAGAGAAGAAGGGAGCAGAACCTCACCAACAGCAATTCTCCTGCTCTGGCTGCAGCACACATCCACAACTAAGTGACTTCAGTCAAACATTCCTTTTCAAAAACAAGTATTTGCATTCAACAATACACTGCTTCAAAAGCTAGCATCACAGTTCCTCCAGTGACGACATCCTCCCCACTCCCTTGCATCCTACGCCTTAATTTTGCAAACACCTTGATTGCCCACTTAATTGTAGAACTCCAATCACCTTCCTAAACGCTGAAGTGAAAGGTGATGCTATTCAGTCACCTAAGCCTCGACCTCAAGTCTTAAACAAATCCCATCACCTATAGATGACGCCAACAGTTTTCCAAAAGATTCTTTGGCAATTAAAGGTTAATTTGGCAACGCTTCACCCAGTAGTATAATCTAGCAAAGCAATGATAGGTGCGGCTTCACAGGCTGACTATCCCTGTTCCATTCAGTGCACGATGCTTCACTCAGCTCCAGCTAGAAAGGTGATATGATCATTATTTTTCTCACTGTAAAACTATCACAATAGGTTTCAGTCATTCTTCCCATGTCTGTGACATGACATCAAATTTGAAAGAGGGAGTAAGTAGGAGAAGGGACAATCACGTAGAAACAGACGAAAGTTCCACCTCTGGATTCTCTTGGCCACGCTCAGAAGAATGTCAGGATCGCGGTGCTTTCACGCAGAGTTCATTGTCTGCCCTGACAAGAAGATTGTGAGACACTACCTGAGCTCTGTGTAACCTCTTTAGCTCCTCTTGCTTGGCTTGTCTACGGGCAGCTTTCTGTACTCGCCGGGTCAGCTTGGCATTCAGTTCCTCTTCTGTGTAGGCTCTCTGAAGGAAGGAAAAACAGGAGCAGATTTTATTTGCATGCTCAGAGGCATGGGGGGAGGGATGACCATTTTTCTCTTCCAAAAATGTCAGAAGTGAGGTGTTCTGTCTTTGCCATGGCTGTGTCAAAAGTCAAGCTTCTGTAGGCAAAGGTGTTCACAGTGCAGTGAGCAACAATTTCACGGTCAAATCAGGAGTGAAGAAGAATATAAGCCAACTGCAAAGCTGTGATTTTATAAAATGTCCCACCCCTGTCTTCCTCTGCTGTATGGAATCTCTCCCCAGAGATCAAATCAATTTTTATTCTGTTTCTCCATAGATCTAGCCGAATGGATTTAGTTAAACCAATGAGTACCATATAGAGGTCATCTTGATTTCATTTTAAAAGAGGGTAAAGAGATGTCTACATGAACGGCTAGAGCAGTATAGGCTAAGAAACGATTACAGACTAGTCTAGTTGTATTGGTATGCCCCTCTCCCTATTTTATTCTGTAGCAAGAACATCCATAGTTGGGAGTTATACTGGTAATGACTACCTGTATAAATTTGTGCAACTTTTAAATGATTCAAGAAGGCAAAAATATATTTGAAAGCAGAACGACATTCTGGTGTGAGATGGGAAATCCCATCTCAAGAGCAAATCCACAAAACTGGCTAGTGTAAAACAGAGCAAACAAACCCTAAACTAAAACTAGAATATTACAACACCAGAAGCCATCTGAAAGGAGAAGAGTTATGTTTATAGAAACAGAAAGGTATTTCTCCCTCTTCTTTTCTCTTAGTGAGACTAGTTTAAAAATAAATAAGTCTTTTTAACACTACTGAAATGGAGTTCAGTATCTTATCAGGTATGCTAGTCGTTGTATTGTAGTCTAGGAGGGCTTGCTCTCATACATTTTGGTGGCACAAGTTTGGTGGCTTTCTATGATGAAGTTACAGCATTGGTGGATAAAGGAAGAGCAAGTGACATCATCTACCTGGACTTGTGCAAAGCATTTGAAATTGTCCCACATGACATCCTTATCTCTAAATTGGAGAGGTATGGATTTGACGGATGGACCACTCGGTGGATAAGGAATTGGCTGGATGGTTGCACTCAAAGAGCTGGGGTCAACAGCTCGATGTCCAAGGGGAGGCCAGTGACGAGTGGTGTTCCTCAGGGGTCAGTACTGGGGCTGGTTCTGTTTAAAATCATTGTTGGCAACAAGGGCAGTGGGATCGAGTGCACCCTCAGCACATTCGCTGGTGACACCAACTGTGTGGTGTGGTGGACACACTGGAGGGAAGGGATGCCATCCAGAGGGACCTCGACAGGCTTCAGAAGCAGGCCCGTGCAAACCTCATGAAGTTCAACAAGGCCAAGTGCGAGATTCTGCACGTGGGTCGGGACAATCCCAAGCACAAGGACAGGCTGGGCGGAGAATGGATTGAGAGCAGCCTGAGGAGAAGGACTTGGGAGTGCTGGTGGATGACAAGCTCAACACGAGCCGGCACCATGCGCTGGCAGCCCAGAAAGCCAACCGTGTCCTGGGCTGCATCCAAAGCAGCGTGGGCAGCAGGGCGAGGGAGGGGATTCTGCCCCTCTGCTCTGCTATCGTGAGATCCCACCTGCAGTGCTCTGTTCAGCTCTGGGGCCCCCAACACAAGAAGGACACGGAGCTGTTGGAGCAAGTTCAGAGGAGGCCACGGAGATGATGCGAAGGCTGGAGCACCTCTGCTATGAAGACAGGCTGAGAGAGTTGGGGCTGTTCAGCCTGGAGAAGAGAAGGCTCCGGGGGGATCTTAAAACAGCCTTCCAGTACTTAAAGGGGGCCTACAGGAAAGCTGGAGAGGGGCTGTGGACACGGGTGTGTAGTGACAGGACAAGGGGCAATGGCTTTAAAGTGAAAGAGGGGAGATTAGATCTAAGGAAGAAATTTTTCCCTCAGAGGGTGTTGAGGCACTGGCACAGGTTGCCCAGAGAAGTTGTGGCTGCCCCATCCCTGGAAGTGTTCAAGGCCAGGTTGGATGAGGCTTTGAGCAACCCCGTGTAGTGGAGGGTGTCCCTGCCCATGGCAGGGGGGTTGGAACTGGATGATCTTTGAGGTCCCTTCCAACCCAAACCACTCTATGATTCTATGATTTTTAAGAGTGTTAAAGAAACTTCACAACTGCATTAAGGGAACTACAGTGAAGAAGAGAACTCTCTTCGCACATACAAAGCTTTAAGAGACAGTTATAAACGGATGTCTTCCACTTCTGGAAAGATATCTTCTCCATGGACAGTTAACTTTAAGGACAACATATTAAGATGGACCACTCTGAAATTTGCTTTCTCTAGTTATTGTACTGCCCAATGGGTCAGTCTACCTCTGGTTTATTTTTCTCAGTGGACTAGAAAAACACAAAATCCACAACCCTAAATCAGAAGGTGAAGTGATAGGGGGTGTGACTTTCCTATCCCTTGTAACACTGTTGTGACTGTGAAGACAGATTAACAAGAATTTCAGAAAGCAGCAACAATCCGGAAACAGAAACGCAACTTCTGTCTCAATTTTAGCTTCACAGAGATTTACTGAGATTTCAGTGATTTTGAAGGATGCTGATTACAAGTGTGACGATTCACTTGAACTCCAATTCTAAGTATTAAAAAAAGAAGAGGCATACATATTTAATTGCCTCAAAACCCAATTTGTTCTGAAACTCAGAGATGATCCGCATCGCTCCGTACGGTAGCGCGCTGCTGCGCGCCGATAATCGCATGCAGGCAGACAAACTGGAGCTTAACTGGAGCTTTTTGGTGGACAACCTCTACAGGGAATTTGCTGCCCGTGTCTGCTAACATCTCACGCATGCACAGTGAAGGTTTGTGATGTTAGTGCACATGTGATGGGGAGCTATGGATTCCATGGGTTAATACAGGGACATGCAACACAACAACGGCCAACTAGTGGGAATGGAGACACTACCTTTGACGAGTATGATCTCTTGAATGCCAAGGCGTGTGGTACATAAATCGACTTTAAAGGGGGAATGGTAAAGGGAAAAAAAAAATAAAACAAACATACAAAATGAAGCAAAATCAGTTCAACATTGAAAACAGGTGCACAGTAATAAAACAAAGCTGTTTTTAAATTAAACATAAAATTGTGCAAATGCTGAACGCGACCCAGACGGATGAAGCACAATGGAACTTCTGTCTGCGAAATCAAGGTTCTAGCACTCTCCTGAAGGCAATTAGCTTTGGCAGGCTCTTTGAAGACATGGTCAACTTGGAAATATCTTTTTCTAGAGGAATAATTTGGCCTTTATCTACCTATGGTTTTAATGTCCACTGAGTAAGTACGCATACATACCCATACAAAATTTTGGCTTAGGATTCGGAATAACGGCTTATGCTGGGCAATGTTTGGTCTGAATTGGCTCAGCCAACCATATAATTACTCTGTCATACAACTCTACATTTACAATCTAACTTACACCCTCTCCTAGGAGTTGTGTTTATTTCATGTTTTTAAATTATCTCTACTTCATAGAAATGATCATCTGCATTTAACTAACATCATAAATCTTCCTCACTGCTTTGTGACAAGAGAAACACCAGATGGGCTCAGAGTGGGTTATGTGTCCTATAGTAATGGAATCTTCCTGTCTAAAAAGAGCCTCTAGAGAGCCTTAAGAGGTAAAATTAGGAGAAGCCAACAGGAGGAACAAAAAAAACAAATCGAGGATAAAAGGAAGAGCAAAAAGGAGGAGGGGGAAAAAAAATCGTTGAGGATAAAAGGAGGAGGAAAAAATTGAGGATAAAAAGACAGAAAAAAATCAAGGATAAAAGGAGGAGGAAAATGGAGGCTAAAAGGAAGAGGGAAAAGGAGGAGGAAAAAAATCAGGGATGAAATGAGGAGGAAAAAAGACTGAGGATAAAAGGAGGAAGGAAAAAAAAAATTGAGGATAAAAGGAGGGGTCAAGGAGGAAAAAAATCACTACCTTCTCCATCCAAGGACATTCTATGTTAGCCTGTACCCGAAAACAAGGCAAGTAAACTACTTGGGGTTTCTAAGGGAGGTGAATTTCCCTTGTGTCATGACTTACAGAGAGCATTGTGCCGTTCTGGGCCAACAGGCAGCATTTTGCATTTTCACATTCAATTAACTAAACACAGTCACGAATGAAAAGCCACAGAACGACTCCGACACTTATGCAAACTTCGGGAAAAAGCCAGCTACCTGCGGCAGTAAAAGGCACGTCTGAGCACACCACCACAACTGTACACCAAGGACAAACACACAATGACACACACCTATAAACGTGAGACCCACGGGGCACTTGCATCAGGAATTCTTTACAAGATTTTTCTCTTGAACGACACTACATTAAACAACACGGAATGAATTCACGGCTGATCGCAGGGAACAAGCTGAACAGAGCAAGCTGTCTGGGAGGCAAGCTCACTACGATTACCAAAAAAAAGCAGCACAAGCAGAATTTCAGTTTAGAAAAGGGGTTCACATAAAAGTTCTGTGGCATACAGGAAGCCAAATCCTACCCATAATAAGTAGCAGGTTGGTTGTAACTTAAAAAAATATAACCTCCACCCCGAATCAGTACAAACCCAGTTTTGTCAGTCTCCAAGTTCAGTTACATTTCTTTGGAAAGCAGGGCATTCCAGTGTCTCCACGCATGTCCTACATCCTTAGACAGGACACAGTGAAACCAGGGAAGTGGAGTTCTCGGATTCGTTTCCTCTAAATAAATTCATTCTGAAAACTCTTTATACAACAGGCAGACATTTCAGCAACGGCAAACGGGAGAAAATGAGACACCACCACCATGCCCTTGGCAGAGCTGGTGAGATATTTTCAGTATTAGGATTCCAGATGTCTGCCACTGTCACCTATCCCCCTCAACGCTGAGTCAGGAGATCTTTTTGTCTGCAAAAACCAACATAGCTCAGCAAAGAAAAAAAAGTGACCAACAAGGCATGCCAAAGTCTGAAAACCAGTACAGACCTTGCTGAAGCCCTGCTTCCTCCTGAAGGAGCTTACAAGGCAGAGCAGTAACTCTGCAACTCTTATCTGAACCCCCTGTACTGCACATCTGTCTTCTGCTAGTCACAGGTACCTCATTCTTCTGCATCTCTTGGAAAATGCAGAATTTCTCATGAAATGCCTTGAGGGCATGCAAGGAAGAATGGAAGGAGGAGAGAAAAAAGGGAATAAAATAAAACCAAAACAATCTTCCTTTTAGAAGAGATCTAGATCAACTAAAGGAGAGAGATTAAGAGACAGGTAAGTAAATACAGAAAATTTCTACTTACTTCATCAACTCCTTCCACCAGCCTTAAATTCATCAGTTTTTCTAATTTATTCCTCTATACAGACATACAAAGCATTTCCTGTGACATTTCAATTCCTGGTACTTCCATACCTTTGCCGTTGGGGCCAAGTATCAACTAGATCCTGCCATGTCAGACTGGTTTGTGCACACTGGATGACAGGTTTGAGACAGGAGGCACAGAGCACCGTGCCTGTGACACTACCCTCTCAGATGTTCTCCTTCCTAGGTCCTTCTAACAGGTGAACCAGGCACCGCCAGGAAGGGAGAGGGAGAACACTTTTTTCATTCTTCAGGACCAGAAGGGCCTTAGTGTTCTGTGGGGTCTATGAAATCTCTACTTATTCCTCCAAATTCTGTCTAGCAGAGCTTAGAAGCTCTCAGGAATGAAAGAAGGGCTCCTCCTCATTACTGTGATTGAGCAGTTCCTCACGTTTTTCACTTATTTTTGCATTGATAGTGCCATCCTAAAATTGAAATAAAGAGCTTAAAAGCAACTAACTTCAGCATTTGGCTCTCATTATATACTTTCCAAACATAAATATGTGCAAATAAACTAAATGTATTTTTTTCTCCGGGCTTTTATGGAGACCCACTGGTGTCTCCTCTTTCCTCCTCAAAAACTTCCTTAAAGCACTGTTTAAAGTGAAACTATTTTGGCTAGAAAGCTGTTGATCTGTCTTACAATGTGACATTATAGGACTAGCTGGGGAAGGTTGGTCAGGAACAAGAAACAGCTCTCAGAAGAAGCCGAGTTCATATCAGACCACGCCGGAATGAGAACATCAGGCTAAGACCAACCCCTATATACATACTGGGATTTCACAGGGGCTCACTACTAGGTATTTCAGCTTCATGGTTGTTACCTTCACACACAGACATAGGGAAATACTCAGCAACTACCAAGAAGTCCTCAAAGAAAACTGAGTCAAAATGGAAGCAACAGCTGATGGCTCATGTCTTCTCCAAAAAGAGAAGGTACTAATTCAGACTGTACACATTCTCTTCTCCCAGCAAAAAATAAGCGAACCTGCACGAATTGCAAAACTGCAGCCTATAGCTTACCTCTTAGTTGATGATCTGTCTTGACTGTATTCTTGATGTACGCAAAAGTACATTCCTGTCTGTAGTTTGCTTGGAATTCTACCACTTCAATCTATCCAAGAGGCTGGTAAAACAATATCCTAAAAGTGGACCCTTATAAAAATTAAGAACTATCTTATTGTTGTCTTTTTGCACCAGAGCCAGTGAAATTCACTTTTCTGACATTAAATGTCTGTTTTCTGTAGGTCACTGGCATGCTCACAACAGGGACAAAATTCACTACTCTGACTGTGATATTCTCTGTAAAATAATGTCACAGTGGGACAGATCCTTCATATAACACTGAGGAGTATCTTGCAATTGCGAAACCAAGTGAAACCAACTTGTTTTAGGCAGAACAGTGAGCCAACTTACAGGAAAGCCTGTTCCACGGAAGAAACAGTAAGAAAAACAAAATTAATCATCCAAGTTTCTGATGTGGTTCTCTGAGCCTGTGATCTGCACGATGCTAGATCCATCTAAAATGCATTTCCCATCTGCCTACCTCTCGCCTGGATTTCTGGGAAGAACGTTCCAGGATATCATCACTGGAGAGGTCAGAGTCCTCTGAGAAACTCAGATGTTGACGGAGCTGCAAATCTGAGAAGCCAGGAATAAAAAGGGGAAGTTAGAGAAGTGGTAACTATTCTTTCTGTAAACATTTCAGAACTCAGTTGACAAGTTGTTTGATTGAGCTTCAAAAATACTTAGTCCTGTTACGCCATGCCAGTCTCAGTTGCTTCTCCTGGGATTACAGAGTGATCAGAGCAGCACTGCCCTGCAAAATGATCGATATTAGTTAGAAGCTTCATTCTAAGAGAACATGACTTTCTGCAAATGCTTTTAAAAGTAACGGTCATGATTCTCTCTTCGTAACGTGTCCATGCTCTTACGATAGACACGGCACTTGGATGACAGCAGCTGGCACTGGTTTGGCTCTTTGTGCAAGGCCGGAGAACCGCGACACGTTCACTTTCTACCACGTTTATGGCCAACTTATTTACTGTATCACAAGTGGCCACTAAACATCTCCACCTGCACCTGACGGCACATGAGAGATTTACACAAGGCTGCAGAATCCCCACTTCGGAGATCAGCAAAGAGTTGCCAGATCACTGAGAACACCGGAGTAACGGCATCTCTGCAGTCTTCAGCATCCATGGAGCCAGGTTGAAAGGAAAAGAACAGACCACCCAAGGAAAAGATGAGGACCAGATTTACAACAGAGATAAAATGTCACGAACAACTGATTCCAGCAAACAGTGCTGATTTCTCAAATGGGTCTAAGGCAGAAAACAGATGTGCCTGGTACATATCAAGAGGGAAGCTTCTATTTAAGGATCCGTTTCTTTTGGTGGGATATCAACTAATCATGTCAATATGCAAATCTACAATTCCAGTCGCTCGCACTTATCCTGATCTGCCCGTCTGACACCGAGGAGCAGCGTCACTCGGCACGGCAGCCGAACGACAAAGGGAGCCCAACGTCCTTTCAAGGATATCTTAGGAAAAGCACACAGTGCGGAGGCACTTCTATTATACCTGCAGCCGTAATCAACGGAGAAGCTTTGTGCCTGCCAGAATCCACAGTGGCACTACTTGAGGGAGTACTTGGGCAGGATTTGTCATCAGCCTTTTTCTTCTTGTCTTTCTTGTACCCAGAGAAAACAGACTTCCATAATGACTTAGGCTTTGTCGCTTCCTCTGTCCCACCACTAGATTTGTCGGAAAGCCTGCTGTCATTTTTGGATTTCTTCTCCTTTTTGTTCTTACGAGGGGAGAAAAGAGAAGTTCTTTTCTTACTCTTCCCACTGGAGCCTTCTGAAGAGGTGACAGACCCTTCAGGTCCAGCCACATCAGCAGCAGGAGTAGAGAACTTGTCACTAGTAGCATCATGCTTTAGTGTGGATCCCTCTGCTATTTTCAAGGCCAAATACTTTGGAGAGTCATAAAACAACTCTTTGGTCTTCAAGGGCATAGAAGATGCCTTTCTTGCCCTTGTGGCGCCAGCTGCAGCCATCTCCATATCTTTCATCTTACACAACTGTTTAGCCATGGCATCACGCAGTGCTTTGCTCTTGACAGACTTCTCTCTGGCTCTCATTCTTTCTTCAGCGAGCTCCTTGGCTTCTGCAGAAATTTCAGGCATCACTCTCTTCTTTTGGTTAACTTCTCCTTCCATTGAGGGCGGACCACCATTTTCTTTGACTAAGGGCAAAAGAAGTGTTTTTTCTGGCCTTGGCCTACTGGTAGGAGGTGTAAAGAACTTCTCATGAAGGCTTGAGTCCTCTGTCCTGTCATCATATGTGTCCTCTACATCGTCAGCAAAAGGAATCTCATCCACGCTCTCTGCAAAAGATTTCCGCACGTCGTCTTTCTTGGACTGGGTTGACTCTTTGGCAGCAGAGGTCGGCTCGTGGCGTGGGGGCACAGGAGGTGTTGATGCTGGTGTTGGAGGTGACCTGGCTTCGATCTCATTCTGCCAGACTGCTTGGTGCCTCTTTCTACGCAGAGTGGCTGGCTCTTCATCCTGAGGAGGTGGTGGCGGCGGACTCGATGGAGGAGTAAGCATGGTAGAGTCAGAAGTATTGAAGCTCTGGCTAGCCATAGTTCTCATGTTAGATGAGCTCTCCTGAAGGCCAAGTCCGGAACTGCTGGATACATCCCTCCTTACTTCACTGGAACCCTTTAGCTCTTTTTCTGATGGCGATTTTGGAGTGAGCAGAGAAATCTGCTCATTTTCCAACTTGGACAGTCCCTGTCTTCTTGGGGCAGGCTGGGGTTTCACAAGATGGATCCTTTCATCCCCTGAAATATTCTCGCTATTAAAAGTCTTCAGAGGAGTTGTCTCAAGGGCAGATACAGTAAAGTTTGTCTCAGGGCGTTTGTTTCTGTCTACTGGGGTGAGTCCTAAGCTCCTCCGGATTTCAGCGCTCTTCATCCAGAACTCCTCTACAAGGTTACTCCGTTTCAGGGCTTCTTCTGCAGTAGTAGGGCTCCCCAGTTTTTCGACCTCACTATGCTGGCCCCTAAGGACCAGTTTGGCTAAAGGAGTAGACGTTAAGGCTGGGACAGGTTGGAAACATACTGGTGGCTCCACAGGGGATGGAATGGATGTTTCGGCAGAAGGCAAAGGCTGGGAACAAATAGGCATTTGAGCAGATGTTGGGGATGAAGCCAGTGTTGGTACTGATGGCTGAGACTCTGCTAGTGATGTAGGTGCAATGGCTTCTGGTGATGCAACTGGCTGCGATAACACTGGAGATGGTGGCACCAAAGGGCTCTTAACTTTCCTGTCTTTGGGAATTTCATCCTTTGGTCCTTCTTCAGGAATGAACGGCTCAGGAAAAAAGCGTGCTTCTGGAGATTTTATTGCACAGGTTACTTCAGCCAGGGGATCTTTTATATCCTATAAAAAAAAGAAAGAGAAAGTCACTGGGCCCATTGAAATATGCTCTGGCTTTTTGTTTGTTTTTAACAAAGTGAGCAATAAGGAAACCATCCCAGCATCAAAATTCGAGAAAATCCACACATGATATCCCATTCACAGGCCTGGAACATCACTTAGCATTTGTATGGCTCATTTCTCTGCCCCATTGTATAAACCATCCTTGGCAGATGACAACGAGGCAAATTTAATTTTTGGAAGAAAAACCACTAAACTAAATTCCAGAAATTAATTTCTATCTTTTTCCTGCTCTCCCTTCTAATCTCCAACTCTGTGTATTGTGGTGGTCCCTCATCTCAGACAGATTTGACGCAAGCCTCTCCAGCTCTCATGAATCCAGCCCTTCCTGCTGGCTAGCAGCTGCTGTAATGTCTTCTTAAAGCAAGGAGTGCTTTCTCTGTTCAGAGTAAATTAGGCTGCAAGACCCTTGCCCCTTAATGGCCTGAGAAGTCTTGGTTTTCACCTCCTACATCCAGACCGCCATATTGTTCAGTAGCACAATTCATTGTTTCACAGTTTACCCCTTTGGAAGTGGACTCCTCTTACTGAGTTCTGATATTATTCTTGCCAATGACTTTTTTTGTGCCAGCTTCCTTTTGAACACAGTTTGGTCCAACTGACACATGACCATGAGAGCACAAATCTCTCTCTCTCTATGTGCTTGCATGACACCCATTAAACACCCAGGTCCCGAGTACCGTGTTTACACACTGTCCTGATACAAGTAGTAACTATGTCTGAATCATTAGATAGTCCTGAAAAAACCACACCTTAACTTTAATAGAAAGTCAACGTTGCCAGCTACTGCTCTTGGCAAACCAGCCTTACCCCATAACGTATCCATTGTAAAAGTAAACTGGTTAATGACAAAACTCTCCAGGATAAAGTCTAATCTTTTAGTAATTCCTTAAAAACAAACACTGGGGAGGGAAAAATTTGAACTGAAAGTTTTAAGGGTCATGGACTTCCTGCTTGTACACACCAGTAGCTGGAATGACCACAGGAATTCACCATGAAATCATGCATGCTGACTCCAGGGCTGACAACATGACGATCATCATTGACATGTCTCCCTTCCTATAGCTGAACTATGTTGTTACTCTGAATAAATAAGCACTGCTTTGGTTACTATTCAGTAATACAAATTTATTTTTGAATTGCAACTGTACAGAATTTGCTTTTGGTACAGAAAAGACAGCCAGACCAGGATACACCTTCCTTACAGCTGCCCTCATGCATTATCTCGTTAACTGCACATTGAAATTAAAATATCCTGTAGAATTCTTTTGGAGGCTTTGTAATGGGAGCTTGTGTGGTAGAGCCACTACACTCTGAAGATAGGAGTGAAAGATAGTACATTATTTTTAAGTCTAAATGAAGTCAGATTTCAAGATCAACATAAATTATAGAGATAGGAAAGGAGGAAAACCCACTGCTGTCAGTCCTCCTTCGTTTATCCACCAAACTGTTCCATTGAACTACAGGTATTGAGTAGAAAAGTTCAAAGATTCCCTTTCTTACCTCTGCTTCTTTTGCTTTGGGACTATCAACTGGAGACAGAGGAAGAACACTGTCACTAGATGGCTGGATAGGGATGGATGGCTTGCATGGATCTAGAGAAAGCAAAAACATTTCCAAAAACACATGAGACTGCTAATTTTCTATTTTTTGTTATATTACGCACAGCAAGTAGTGACAAATTTCTCATCATTTTACAAATTCTAGATTGGGCATCTGGAACACAGACAAAAAAATTTAAATGTCCAAAACGGTACAAGCTTTTTAACATAAAAACTTCTACAAGAAAAAGCAGTTAGATGGGTTCTCAGGCTTTAGGAAGCCGTAATTAATGGATTCAGAACATTCTTCTCAAAATGTTACTGCAAGCACATACCTTGCCACTGAGAGTAGTGAGATGGGTCAAATCCAAGAGACTGTCTTCTCTTAAATCTCATAAATGTACAGACTACCTCCAAGGCAATTACAATCATCCAAACACCAATGGGAAAGCTATTACCTCCTGTCACACTGGAAGAACCACTTTCTGCTCCTTCATCTTCTTCATCTTCAGAGACTTTTAGTTCTGGCTCTTCCACGCCACCTTGATGTAAGTGAAACTGTGCTTCTGCATCAGATGGGATGTCATCTGATCACAGATGGGGCAGGGAAAAAAAAAAACCACAAGATATCTTGGATACAAGTCCATCAGAACATCTGTTTATTATTCAAAAATAATTCATAATCCTTCCTTTCTATTCACATGGTGCTAATCACTTTTATAACCTGAACATCTAAATGTTTCACTCCTTTTTTTTGTGTGCTAATTAGAGTCATTTAAGCAGTAAATGATGGACTATTAGTACACATAACTAAATTAGTAATTTAAGTCACATCTTACCAGTTTTCTGGAAATTTGTCAATGTTTTCTGGCATATAGAGTTTATTTTACACTAGCAAGAGATGATGTTTGGCATAACCTTCTGGACTTGCCCCAAATTTATTTCTATTTCTGTTATTCAGC